TTATGTGGCACAGTGCCCCCCCCTTTGACTTTTCTGTAATTGCTAACCCAGGCTTGCTGAAAGACAAAACAGAGGAATTTGTGCGTTCATCCACTCATGAGTGACTTCGTGAAGAGTAACTTGGCCTCAGGTTTACCAGTAGAGGGAAGAGAGATGCCAAAGGAGCTGGCCACTTCCCACTGCTGCACTGCAACCACAATGTTTACCACACGATGAGTGCTAAGAGGAACACAGCATCCCTGTGGCTTCCCACCAGCCAGTGGCACAGAGGTGCTTGGTGGGCCCGCCTGTTGCTGCACCTGGTAGGACTCCTTGCATTCACTGTAATCCAGCTGCATGGGAGTGGTGCATTATCACAACCACTAATAACACAAGGCATGAGAGATCCCACAAGGGGAAGAAGTAGTTCCACCCAACAAGAGGGGGTGGTGGACAACTTCACAGCATGTAAAAAGAAAGCAGTTCTTGCATGTGCAGGTTCCTGAGAGGCTGCAGTTCTTTCTTCTTTTTCATGAGCCCAACCCTGCTGTTTCTTCATTTTTAGAGCTATCTCTGTCTTTTCTTTATTTACTTTTCTTAGTATATAGCTGGGGAAAGCAAGATGAGAAGTGGACACTGCCGTGCATTTGCTTTCAGCCAAACATCATTCATGAGCTTTTCTGCCTGGATCAAGCTTTCATCTGTCAGCAAGCAGCAGGTAGGTGAGCATGCTGAGAGCTCACAGCCATGTACTGCTCTGGATGATCAAAACCAGGTCTGTAAGCACTCACATGATTTGAACATTTGCCAAAGCTCAGCATTTACCTGCTTTGCAAACATCTCCTTGAGAGAAGGCAGCACAAGGCTGGTAAGCAGCAAACTTGTGCCCGCTGATTATTTTATATGGTACCTCAAGTCTAACACACCTTGCTAGCATGCTGTCAAGGAAGTGAATGTAGAATGGATTAGGAGCCCTAAATGGGGGGATATCTTTTCTAAAAAGGATTGCACCAAGTTACCACGAAGTTGTATCAAAGCATTTAGCCTTAAAAGACCAGCTTCTGTCACGGAATTATCAAAGGTACCCTTTACTTATTAAGATTTATTGGGCAGGCTTCTTTGAGCATCATTTCTTGTGTACTGGGCGCAAACCCAAGTAAAAGCATCACAGAATGGAGTGCTATAACCAAACACATGGTGTGGCCCCTCTCGCTGCAGATGGTTTCTCAAACACCCCTCACACTGCCACATGTGCCTCCCAGCTCCTGTGTCAGCACAGCACCTGCTAGCACTAGTTCCTGCCATCCCAGGCCACCTCACAAAGCTCGAGTGTCAGGCCGGGCCTCCCCAGCTCTCTGCTCCTCCAGTGGGGAACAGGGAGCCTCAGAAAGGGTGAGCATTCTTCCAGTGGAGCATGGCCAAGAAATGTTTCCTAATGCCTTGCTTTCCTGCTCTTTGTACCCCATGTGGCCTGGATTTGCATTTTGCTTGCCTTGGGAAAAAGAAAGATCATTGATATGTCCTGTGGCAGCTGCAGAATTACAGCCACAATGGCAGTATCAGTAACAGTGCCCTCAGTGTTCGCAGCTCTCAGGCACACAAGCCCTTCTTCAAGCCCAAGTCAGAAGCAAACCTCAAATTAACTGCAGGTTTGGGACAACTGCTCTGAGTTTAATTCAGTGCATTCAATCAGACAATTCGAGAGGAGTCTGTTTTCTGGATTAGCTGCCTGTGACCCATGTAAACGATGACTTGCTCACAGTTATTCCACATCACCTGGCCTATCCAGTTCTCCGCCTTTAGTCTTATTTTGGCCAGGGGAGACCAGGGGACAGAAGGATAATCCTGTGCCCTTTCAGAGATAGCAGAACAATGCTGAGCCATCAGCTGGAGGAGTAGAACTGCCGTCTGGCCCTATCCATCCAGATGCAAATGGAGCCCAACTTATCAGTGATGCCGCAGCATCACCCCAGGAGATAAGAGAGGTGGAGCCATGGAGGAATGCACTCAGACCCAGCTGATCAGGTGGCAGCGGGTGCCCACGGGAATGATTTCTCCCTTCAGCTATCTCATCTCTGCATTTCTGGAGCCAACACCATTTTCCCAAATGGCACACAACACATTCTCTTTTCCTAAGTGCCATCCCCAGCGGGCTCCCTGTGGTTACCGAGGCCTCAGCAAATATGAGGAGTGGCGTCTTGATGTCGGTCACAAGTTCAAAGGCTATTGGACGACCAGAAAGTTTCTTGAAGACATCTTTTATGCACTGCTGTTGCATTAGGTTTGGAATTCCTCCTCAGGTCACGGGCCCACCAGTCTGGCTGGAAGAACGCCTCTGTAGCCATTAGGGCACCCTGTAAAGGAATGCCTGTCGAAGTGCCCGGTGCTCATCTCCAGGATGCGGGCAGGTGGGGCAGCACCTGGGGGAAAACAAGAGACTGGAAAAAATGTCTTGAGGATGGCAGAGTAAAAAGCCATAAAGGTGTCATTAGCAAGCCTAGCAGATTTAGAACAATGCCTCAGATAAGGCAGCCCAGCCAAAACAGATACCAGCTTCAGGGCTCTGGGAGAACAGCCCGACAAAAGGCAGAAAGGCAGGGCAAGGTGGATCTAGGACACAGCCCCAGTCATGTGAGGCCTGCTGGAGAAAGAGATTATCTGGAAGCTTTACTCGTAGAGGCAGAGAAACTAATGGGCAAATACCTGAGGCTGCTTCTCCTTACACAGCAATATAAATTTACCCAAACTACATGTGAAGGAATTATTTTTAGAAACACGTGCCTGCACATCTGCTATTTGAAAACAACTCCCCAACTGCTATATAATTTTTAGAGAAAAAAAAATAGTTTTGCTTCAAGAAACTCTGCTTGCTGTCCCAGCAATCTAGTTCTGTCCCATCACTGAAGAAGAGTCCACTTGCAAGAGCAGAGCGGAGCTGAGCTCTGATGCAGTTATCCCAGAATAGAGCCATAGAAATCGTTTGAGTTGGAAGGGACCTTTGAAGGTCATCAAGTTGAATTCCCCTGCAGTGAACGGGGACACGTACAGCTACATCAGGGTGCTCAGAGCCCTGTCCAGCCTGTTGGGGATGGCCCAGACTAGTGGGCAGTGCTGCAGAATTGCACCCCAGAAGGTGCCAAGGTCTGCTGTGCCATGATGCTGGCATAAAGGAAGATAAAGAAGCAGAACCAGAACTCAGGACTCTGCAAGCCTTCACATATCCCTAAAGCAGCAGTACTAAGCCACTCCATTGTTCCTCATCTCTGTCCTTTGCCAGTACTTTTCCTTTGCATGCCTAGCTCCCAGATTGTGCAAGGAGCTTCCTCTTACTCATTAATTCACATCAAATGACTGTTTTCCCAATAGATGTGTCAATTCCCTGCAGTGCTAAACCCATCATAGGTACTAGGATCATCTGAGTTCACACTGATCGTGATGACTGGCTTGTCATGTTATCTCAGTTCACACAGGCACATTTAGTAATTCAGTCACTGCACACACTTCTTGCTCTGCCATCTCTGCCACACAGCCTGCATGCCTGGCCATCACCCAAGACTGCAGTGAGATATGACATCAAAACCAAGCATGAACTTTGAAGGCTGTTTTTAATAGTCAAGCATTTGTCATTTCTCCTTGTATGGTTTGGGATTCGTGATGCAAAGAGAACATTATACAAAGGATGTATGTAATGGCACAGTCAAAGCACCAGTTACAGTTAAAAAGTGTTTTCTCTTTAGGCAAAGACAAATTCAGAGACAGTGGTGCTGGGAATCACCATGAAGGCCCTGCTTGTGTTTGGGAGAGTTTGGCCCAAGTTACCATCAACAAGTAACCAGACTGCCATGGCTGTTGGAACTCTCATTTCTGCAAATCAGCAGCAGCTGTTACCAAAAGAGACAAATGGCAATATCCATGTCCTTCTTTGCCTTTCTCACACCCCAGGCACAACCAGACTGTACATTCAAAGAGATGAGAGGCCACTAGTCAAAAAGCCACTAAAAGGCAGTCCCTTGCTGAAACCAGCAAGCACACCTTCAGGAAAGAAATTTTTGTCCTAAAAATCAGCTGACATTCTATCAGTCATGGCTTCTTCCTACTGCTGTTCTTTTCCTCTCCTCTGTATGCAACTCCACTTCCCTTTTCCTTCTTCCATTTGGTTTTCTACCCAGCTGTGTGACTCACTGCCCTGTTCCAGCTGTCCCACTCCACCTCCACTCGTTAGTACGTCCAACCACACACACCTATGTTCACTGTCTCACTTCACCATGGCCTCAGGCACACACACAGCAAGTCCCCATCCCTCCAGGGCAGGAAGGATGCTGTTGGGGTTGCACAGCTGTTCACTCTCCATCCTTGCTTTTGCTGCCTCCTTTCCTGCCTTATCCCCAGCCTTGGGGCATCAGCAGCTTTGGTCAAGCAGCATGGTATAGCACAGCATCGGCCTGTGTGAGGAGGGGGAACTACAGCAGAACATCGAGCAAAACCCACACACAGCAGCAGTCTGGGAATGCCAATCTGTTCCTTGTACAGCACCAGCCAGGTATTTGTGCATGTATGAGAGTGTACAGGAAGCGGGATGAGGCAGGCAGCCAGGCCTCAGATCTCCCTCTATAACTTAATTTGTACAACCAAGAGAAGCAGACATACTAAAACACGAGCAGACAGACAAAAAAAAGTGAGATCAGTGCAGCAAATGGTCTGTCGCATTTGCTGGGCTAGGCAGAAACCAAAGCCAGGCATGGACTATTTGCTAAACACAGCACATCAGCGCTCAGTGACTCTTTTGGGGGACAGGCTGAAGGGAAAAAGTTTTCCTTCAGGTTTTGGCTTGTTAAAGTGTTACAAGCTCAAGTGGAAATGATTTACACCTGATGGATGCGGCGCTGCTGTTGGACCAATGAGTTTAATGACCTATGGACACGGAGAGTGAAGCCCTAAATAAATCACAACAAATGAAAATACTGTTAGCAGTTTCATAATTTAATGAAAAAGTACTTGTAAAAAGGGGACATCTGAAAAAGACCGAGTCCATCTTGGAAAATTGAATATATATATATATATATTTATATATATAAAACAAAATGCAAAAACACACAAAAAAAATAAATCGACAAATAAGGTTAAGAGGTAATACTTCAAACAGTTAGCCACCGAACACACAATAAAAACTAGCAAATGCACTTTGGGAACAATACTTGAGAACTACACAACCAAGGGCTCCTTCATATATCTATTAAAATCACGTAAAAATTAGCAAAACCATTGCCCAGGGATGAATAACCCCGGAAGAGCAGAAACATTGAGTTTTGCTGAAGCACCATTTTCCTCCCCTCCTCCACACGCTGCTGGCCACAAAATGACATGAACACTTTGCTCACCTCCCATTGCAAGCTCTGTGGAATTTCGTGACCAGGAAGAGGATTGCTAATAAATATCGAAGGAGAACTTAGAGAATCAGAACTGGATCACAAATGAACAAACATCTGCTTCCTTATTCTGAACGGCCCATGGCTTAGAACGCAAAGCATTTCCCTTTAAAATAAAATATGTAGAAACCTAAAATGCTACTGTATATTTACACCAAAAGAAATAATTTTGAAGATACAGCTCTAGAAAGACAAATTACACAAATATACATAAAATCAAGAAGTGGGAGGGAAAAAAGAAAAAAATAAGATGCGTGAAGCAAATAGATTAGAATTGCCAACTATACTGGGTTGTATTTTTTTTTATTATTATTTCACTACAGAAAAGTCCTCCAGCCCTGACCTGCTAGTCCTATTGCAAGTAGAGAGATTTCAAAGGTTAAACCAAATCTAAAAACGTTGCTGTAATTTCCTAAACAATAAATTAAGATGATGAAGGAAAGCAAGCTGTTGTTTGGGTTCTGCATAGTCATCTTTACGCGGGGTGTGAACCTTCCTAGACAAAATGAGCCCTCTAGGGACAGAGGGTGCTGCAGATGGCTGGAACGTGCAGCATGGCTGAGAACAGCGCAGTAGTTTTGCCTGGAAAAGAAGAAATTTGTCTCTATTCAAACAAAAAATCCCGGATCACATAAACAAACCCGAAAGGGTTTCCCCTTGTTTCTCACTTCCTCTACACTGGTTGAAATTTAAATACCAGTTAACAACTGGCTTTAAAGCACATGCAAAAAGCTTTAGTTTGGGAAACAGCAACTGATCCAGAGGTTGAAAAGCAGCTTAATGGAAGCAATAAGTTTTCAGCAATAAAAAACATACTCCAGATGATGACTGGCTAAAATTTTACAGTCCTAGATGCCAGAAGCAGGGCTCTTAAGCCCACATTTAGGCAGCTAGGGTTGAAAATTTGTGCCTACGTAAAAAGTTTGGACAAAATTATTTCTAATTCAGCTTATTTTAAAAACACCAGGTACAAATACCTCTGGATGTGAAATCTCAATTTCAAGAGGAACCTGGCATCACTGGTGATTGCCTAACTGTAAGTGTCAAATAGCATTTTTCTTTGAAGTAGTACATCTACTTTTGTAAACACTATCCACAAAATTAGCCATCTGTACTTGTTAGCTGGGTAAAATATTTACAAGTGCATCCCACAACAAGCAACTATGTACAGAGATTAAAAAAAAGCTGAAGTACTACAAGTTGTATATTTACAAAATAAGCAAATTATTGTGAAGAGAAACACAACCCTCAGCAGGAGCGGGGAGCAAGGGCACAACAGAGGTCAGCAAGTTTGGCAGCTCCAGCAACACCTGCTCCAACTTCCACAAGGAGCCTGCAGACACCCCTGCGGCTGGAGCCCTCCTGCAGGACAGCAGGGGACCGTCACTTAGTAGTCGCTTGGGCCTGATCCAGCAGAGCACGCCGGTACGTGCCTGGGGAGCTGAGCCCTGAGTTCTGGGAGAAATCAGCAGGACTCAGCACGGGAGTAACTCCAACACATACCTAAAGTGCCTTGCTGGATCAGAGCCGCACTGCAGGTGCCATAAGAATGCGGTTTCAGTGTCTCCATTCGCGGTTCCTTGCAACGTGCCAGAGCAATGCAAGGGCTTTTCTAATGCCTGTCCACCACAAGATTGACATGAGGTGGACATCTGGCCTCACACACGTGCTGGCAAGGAGGAAGCAGTTTCCTGAATTTACGTAAGGATCAACCACTTCGTGCTTTCCCAGATGTTCAACTCTAACAGAACCCATCAATTTCTTCGTGACTTTGCAATAGCTCGGTTAAGCTTGCAAAGGCTGCAAGCCAATTCACAGTTGAACAAAACTACTCTGATTTCACTCCCCTTCCCATCTCCCGCTGCAGTTCTTCCTAACGTAGCTCCTGTGCTGTTTTCTGGAACCTGTGGATGCTGAGCTTTGCACTGGTACACCAGAATACACAAAGGCTGAGTTACCCCGTGGGGGCTTCTAATCACCTTTGTACCGAACTGTGAGAAATCATATTCTTTTTGTTTCTATTGTGACACTCTCTTCCAAAGTCCTTATTTGGGCTTTCTCTCTCTGAGCTACTCCGTCTTAACCTCATTTGCTCTTTATTTTCATCGCTTTCTGCTTCAGAGTCACTCAGCTCCAAGTCGGGACAGTACCCATCATTGTCCTGGTACGGAGCCCCTTCGAGCGTCTGCTTGCTCCACAAGCGTTCTTTTGCTGTGAGCCTTCTCGTTGGCTTCTCACAGCACCGCAAATCTTCCGTTGTCCTCACCAGGCTGTTAGTGGCCTCCTTAAAGGACCGACTAAAGTGTTCAATGGTGGATTTTCTAAAACCACTCTGGCTGGCCAAATGAGCCGTCAGCACAGACTCTTGTTCAAAGGGCGTCTGGCTGGAACTGTCCCTCTGGCTCACGTCGCCAGTTCTGCCCATCAGACCATTGGATTTGGCCACCAGCCGCGAGCCATCCTGCTGCAGCCGCCCATTCCCGATGGAGGACTGTCCGTGCAGAGCAGCCTGCAGTGCCAGAGGCTTCCCTGATGGCTGGCCCCGGTGGAACTCTGGCACCTGCACAAGACCGGAGTCCTTCGCCTCGCCACGAGGCTTGCCGATCCCTCCTGTCACAAGCAACCCATTACTCCTGGTGTCGTGCTGATACCTGGAGTAAGATTTGGCTTTGATTTCAAATGCTTCCTTTGACATCGGCACGCTCCTTTTGCTGTAAACAGTGCTGTTGTTGTCAGGAGAGAGCGGTCTGTTGCCTGGCTTCAGCGAGTTATTTTTGCAATCTCCTAGTGCTGATTTGGGCATTTTTAACTTCAGGGTGATCCTGGGAGGTGGGTAGAACAGTGTGTTCTCTAGTGCACTTGTCAGGGTATGGCCTGTGTGAGAAAAAGACGAGGGAGCAGAAGATGAGAAGACTTTCAGAAGAAGAGGTAATCATTTCTTTACCTGTAGGGTTTTGCAGACTATGAGAAGGTCGTTCAACAAGAAGCATTTGCAAACAATTACTGTGAAACTATGTTAGGACAATAAAGAGAAGTCAGGCAACTGTAAAGAGCTCCATATCACTTACCAGCTCAGCATTTAGGTACGCGTTTTTAGAATTTTGATTAAAAACAATAACGTGCCCTTTCATGGGGCTTTAAGCCAGTGAATTGAAGCAGTTCTGAGACATGACTGAAGTAGTTCCAACAGAATTATAAAAAGCTCACATCCAGCTTTGGATTGAGAAAAAACAATGCTTCAAACTGAGTTGCACTTTGAACTTAGTTCAGTTCTCCGCTTTGTTTTATAAAATTCTCTGTTTTTTTTCCCTCTCTTTTCACTCCAATATATCAGTCACTGTGATATAATACGCTTGCATCACCATTGCAAAATAGCTATCAAAACATTCTAACAAGCTTTAAAAAGCACTTGGCTTTGTCTCAGTAGACATTTCTAATAAAATTTCATTACAGAAAACCAAAGTGCTTTAGAGTACTGCTGCCTCCACCAAGTATTGTAGAATCATAGAATGGCCTGGGTTGAAAAGGACCACAATGATCATCCAGTTTCAACCCCCTGCTATGTGCAGGGTCGCCAACCACCAGACCAGACTGCACAGAGCCTGGCCTTGAATGCCTCCAGGGATGGAGCATCCACAATATCCTTGGGCAACCTGTTCCAGTGTGTCACCACATTCTGAGTGAGGGTGTGTCCTAGTCTCATCCGAAACAATTAAAAAAACAAACAAAAACCTGTCAGTACTAACAAAACTTATCCATGATCCATGGTTCAAGAATAGTGAGAAAACACAAAGCTTTTGCTCTAAGTTGGTTATGGAAAACACACTAAGTATCTTGAACAAACATCAAGATTTCTATTTCACGCTGCAGAAGCAATTACCTTCCTATTAGAAAAAAAAAAAAAAAAAAAAAGTTGCAATGTAATATATACTCTTTCTAAATCATAAAATATCCCAAATTGGAAGGACCCATAAGGATCACCGGGTCCAGCTCTTGGCTCTGTATAAGACCACCCAAAGTTGTGTCCCTCATTTCAGGACACAGATTTAATAAAAATTAAGGGCGGGGTTTGTTTTGGTACTATTCACTGTTAGAAACAAGAGTGCTTAAACTCTTTTTGAAGGAAGTTTAGTAACTGCAGACCACAAGCTAAGAAATGCCCCTCCATGACGCTCATCAAGTACTCAAGGCAATGTGAGAACAGCAATTCCTATCAGTCACTCTTCTCTTCTGCCTGAAGAAATTAACTACAGCAAGCAAAAAACTTCTCAGTTGGAGAGCAGAGCTTGCTGTGGGCAAATAGTAGCATGAAATAGCAGCCCAACGAAGCAAAAACCTAGAGATCTCCATCGGTTTGTTTCTGCTTCCTGGGTGTCACAGTAATTGGAAACTAACTGGCATATGGCAGGAGCATCTATGGAATACGAAAAGATTCAACTCAAGATTTTAGAAGATCAGTGTTTGTGGATGTTGCTGAATTAATTAATCGCATATCCAAAGAAAGTTTTTAAAGGCAGCTGTCAAACATTAAAACACTAAGCAGAAATCTAATGTGAACTTTTTTTTCAGTTTGTTGTAACTTATAAATATTTTACATTCATATGATTACCTGCAGCAATTTCCTGATTAATGAGCTGAACTTGCAAATTGAAGACCTGTTCATGTACTTTACTGTGAGACAGCTTCAGTTTCTCTCTCCTGCTTACCATGTAGCAGAGATTTCTTACCTGCAAAAAAATAACAGACTCAGTATAAAATTAAAAAAAAAATAAAAAATCCTGACTTAGGGAAAATATTGGATCAACAACAGAATTACAGACACATTGTGAGCAAAATCCCTTGGCAAACACCTCATGAATGTTACTGAACATATGTAACTATGAATATAAAACAAATCTTGCATTTTTTTTTTAATTGCCAGTTTACTGAATGCCTTGAATATGTTTCATGAGATAGCAGAATGTATTTTCATACATTCTTCATATAGAACAGAAAGGGAACACAAAATTCCAGTCAAAGGAAAAGAACATGATCTGCAGCTTGCTTGTTTGAAGCCTACTTCCACCACACATTATGCTGGGCATCTTACTGCAGTCAATACTCAGTTCTCCCAGAATTTCCTTGCAAAATGTTTCACAGAATGATTTTTAACAGCTAAATTTGTTCATTTCTCCTAGGATTACTGTTACATTAGAAAGTAATACTTTTAACAAAGCTACTCAATAGAGCTGGCACGTTTGGACTGGAATTAACGTGTAAATCACCCCTAAAAGAACACTGCAGCTTCTTGTGTATTTGAAACATTTTTGTTGATTCATTCAGCAGTTTATTTTCAGACCCCACTGTAGTTCCACATATTTCTGCCTTCACTGTTGGAGTTAAGAGTAATATTTCCACCTACCATAACGGAAACAGGAAGAGATGAAGAAAGTTGAGATACAGACCTGAAAGAGCCTGCAGAACACAGAAGCAGCACAGGGACTGGCTGAAAGATACTTGCCATGTGTACTTCCCCCCAGCACTTAACTTGAGCTGTTCAGAAACTGAAGCCTCTCTCCCCAGAAAGGAAATTCCAAGATTCCCAAATTAATTTTCACCCAAATACATATGTGAGTTGGAAATCTTATGGTGTGAGAAATTCAGAAACTTTGAGATAGATTACAAACTACCAAGCCTCTCCACTCAAAGTAAATGCATCCATTTCAACACAGTCAGATGTAAACCAACCACTGATCGAACAAAAAGGAAAAGCCTGAAATGCTTCATTGAGAAAGCAAACAAAAAGGAAAACCTTCCATTCAAAGCATGTTATGTATTTATAGAATATACATACATAACATATTTAGGTAGGGACCAAATTCCTGCTCCGGATTTTGCTCAAGGACTCCATCTTTTCCGAATGCTGGCTAGCTGATAATATGGTAAAGAGCCAAGCTGAATACTGGTAAAAAGATCGTTTCCTTTTTACTCTACTCAGCAAAGCCACAGGCTAGGCCTGGTGGGTTGTTTACCAAAAGCTAACTAACTGTAGCATCCTGGGCAGCTACGTGCAGGGAAAGTGTCCAATTTAAGAGCATGAGATGTGATTCAGCCTTCCCTTACCTAGGGCAGGCTGACAACAGCACACTGTCAAAGAAGGGAGATGAGTAAGGGGCCTGAATCAGATGCCACAGGAAGCTGTCTGAGCATAAGCCAGCATCTTTCTTGGTGCGTGGAACCAAAAAGCCTCTACAGTAGTTAACCCAGGACTTCACCTAATTGCCCTCTAACTATGAGGGTGAGAAGGTCTGCTTCAAGTTTTTGTAGAATCGTAAAAATGTTAAATCACACTCACCAAAGAATACTTGGTGCTTTACCTAGGCAAATTCAATTTACATTGAAATCAAAGAGTCAATGCTCAAGTGCGTCCATGGAAACAGACGTGTTACATTATACAAAGGAGAAACCTCTAAGCAAGGCAGGAAGCGTGGTGTTCACAGTGGATCTCTCATTGCACTGAAAAACGACAGCTCCCGAAAGTCTCTGCAACATGCAGCGTACCACCAGAATGGAGTTCAAGTTCACCTTTTTATTATTATTATTTCATAAATCATCTCCCTGTGCTTCTCTCATCCCCAGTTTTGTTTGGACAAAGCTGCTACTCACTTGCACATCGTTTTTACCAGTTAAACTCTTACCCTCTCTAGGTCCTGCCTCAAATGCATGAACATCCTCATGCGAGTATGAATGCTATCTTCTTTTGGCTGCACCAAGCCATTTTCTTCATCCTCCTTGGGAGGAAACAAAGGTTTGTTAAAGTTACTTTTCCGCTTTAGTTTCCAGTAATTGTAGATGAAGTCTACAGCAAGTTTAGGGAGGCCCAGTTCTGCTGAAACATCCTCCACTTTAACTAGTGAGTAAAACTCTTCTTCCAGCTCCCGGAGTTTCTGGGCTCGCAAACTGGTTTTCTCACTCTCTGTTTGCTTCTGATCTGTTATGCTCTTGGGATGTTCATCAACATCAGGCAGCGAATTCTGTTTGTTCTTGCTGTGCTTTAGACAGTATGACTTGAATTTGACCTCATCCCCATCATCCAGGATAGTCTTCATCTCTAAGCTATGCTCAAAGGCACAGGTGACATGAAAGGCAGTGATGCAGCTTTTCACTGAACACTACAAATGAAAGACATAAAACAAGAAAGTCACTAAGAGTAGTAACAAACTAGGAAAAAAACATAATTACGTGAAACTTCATCCCTACAAAACCAAATTTAAGTACCCTGAAGAAGTCAGCTGATATTTCTAAGTCAGAGTCATGTGATTTGTTATTTTTCCATCTGTGAACAGCATTCAGTGAAAAGATCAACTTCTGATCCACATATTAACAGTACTTATCTCAGCCTCATTCAAAGGAAGGCAGTTGATAGAAACTTCTCACTCACTACGCTGGACTGCTCAGGGAACAAATTTGTTAGCAGCCAAGATGATATGGATAGGGAGCTATCCAACAGTTGTCTTCATTGAAGGAAAATTCAAAAACCTTAAAACTTCCCCATCTCGCAGACTCAAGAGTCACAGAAAGACAAGTACATACCTGAATGCAAGCACCGGTTTTCAGTTTGCATAAACTACACACTAAAGCCCATCGACTTGGTGGAATGTGAGAGACCTTTGTGATCGGCTCCATCCTTTCTGGGCAAGCAATACTAACCTGAAAATAAAAAACAGCATGGAAAGCAGTTATCAAGGCAATAAAAACAAGCTCTCCACTAATACCAGAAGTATGACTGCAAGTATGACCACCATTTATCTCATTCAGAGATCTCTGCGTGCTCATACTTCATAACAAGTGACTTGAAGAGATTCCACATGAACAAAACAATATTGTGGAATGCGATTAGTTTAACCTGGTGGCTAGAAGTCGTCATTTTTCAGACCATTTTAGGCAGCTACAGCATGCCTTGTTATGAACCATTTAAGAGACTGCAGCAAGCGATAGCAAAGTTTATTCCCTTTCAGTTCTGTCCACCTATCCACTGTGATAGAAATTTATCAGCTGCCTGCTGTCCATACTGGGAATATGGACATATAGAATATGGGAATTACAGACTGTCCTCTATAACTTGAACACCAAAACAGATGAAAATTATCTCCTTAGTCATCCCCAAGATGCTCCTGAGCAACAGGATTTATCCACGGGCAGAACAAAATTAGTCAACTCGGAGTGATCAACATGCAGAAGTGGGTCAGTAACCAAACGGCACGTGGCAGAAGACTTACAGAAATACAGTGCTTAGCCTAGCTATAAAGATCTCCATGCTTCTTATGGGCAATTCACCTGTTTTGCCAGTGGTGGGATAGGGGTCTCTTTGCAAAGGTACTTCAGCTATCACCTCATGCACATGTTAATTTTAAAACCTGCCCAATCCCTGATGAAGAAAAACTTTGTTTCACCAGACCTCCTCTCTGAGGCAGGCATATCCAAAGATAGCAATGCTACCTTTATCAAGTTTGAAAGTCCAAGCTGCTATTCTCAAACTGAGTATTTTTGACACTCTCTCTTTCCTATCTTTTTCACTGTTTTGATCAACAGACAAGTAGGTGAGAAAGCAAGCTTTACAAGAGATTACTCCATTATTTTTGCATTTTAAAAGGTTGATTAGTAGTTTGTAAACCAATGACAAAAATTGACTCCAGTAAGATTTGTTATGTAACTTAAACCAAGCCATATTTTCTGGAATATGCCAAGGTCAGCCAGTGTTGTATGGCATTCCTATTTAGCCCAGTGACAACTGTGTGCGCCCATCCCTGATCTATAGTATCCAGGAGGCCAGTAGCAGCTGCACTCAGCCTTCTCTTTGGTCAAAACCAGAGTCAGAAAAATTCTTGGGAAAAAACAACAGGACTTTGCACCTAAAAAATGGGGAGGCAGTATGTAGTGTCCTCATCAGCTAGAGATGAAAAATAATTTCATTTGTTGAGGACTTCCTATAAATCAGCGGGAAAGAGACAAAGCTGTCCTTGAAACTCTTGAACGGTTCCACAAATTCAGGTTCAGCAATCTTAAATGGCAAAGGTAGCTTTTCTGCTTCCAAATTGACCAATCCAACTTGACCCGGCTAAGAACAGAGCTGGTTACAAGTTGTACAGGTATTTCTAAAATAACATTGTACAAACACTGACCACAAATCTTGTTTCAGTTACTAGAAAGTAGGCAAGATTTCCGTTGGAAATTATGGGGTTGCACTAATTTGCCATGTTGCCAATATTCCCTTCAAAAAGGAACCAGAAACTTCAGTGATTTTTTTCTGTAGGCAGTTGCACCAGCTTTTCACTGTGCATACCAGCAGGAGTTGGAACTCACACATATCTTCTTGTCACTCTCTGCCCCTTTTCATCCTCTCCCTGCTCCTTCTCCAGAAATATTTGTTAGAAATATTGCCCATTCAGCTTATAATGCTGCCTGTTTATGTTACTCCACTTTGTAAAAACACAAAGAGGTGCTCAGAGTCAGGTGCAGTTTATTTATACTGGCCTCGTGCCGCCTGCACGTTTCTAACGTTCAAAGAGAGGAGTCAAAGCAAAGCCTGTTTGAATTTCACTGTTCATGAGGGATCCAGAGAGCACAGAAGCCAACCTTTTCTCTTCCCAAAACCTCCCATCCCGAGATAGAAATGACCGCCTGCCTTAACACATAGCTTCTCTGTTATTTCTTTATGTTGTGTCCGGTTACATTTTGTCTGCCATACTCTGAAGAAGTAGCAGTGGGAGAGAGTGAGAACAGCAGGCTGTTGAAGCCTGCTCTCTCCAATTTACGCACAGAGCTGACATCTCTGTTGTCACCCTGCTATCTGCTGCTCCACTAATGGCCCGCCACCAGCAGCTGTGTGTTAGCAGGCAGTGATCTGCACCAGTGGCTGGGGAGGCACCCCAGCAGCTGGAGCACAGCCACTCACAGCAGCAGCTGAAGGCGGTCATTTGACAGTTCTGCAGCTGTAGCAAGGAAAAATTACTATCTGCTTCAGCCAACAACGCACTGACCGAGGGAAGATGTATCTGCCATTGGTCATCTAAGGCAGATAAATGAATTTTAAAACAACGTAAATTTTCTTATGTCAAAGTCTCTCCCTTTTTTCCAAGAATATCTTTTAAGAAATCACGGAAGAAGAGACACATTCACACTAAGAGACAATGCTGGCAGAAGAATAAGAAGGATTAAAATCAACAGTGAGTACACTTTGTGAAGTAAAAACCTTCAAACGTCCCAAACAGCTCAGTGAGGGTCAAGACAGCCTTCCCACACCATTACTTCACAAGGAAAGGGAGGCAGGGAAGAAACAAAACAAAACAAAGCATTCTAGGGAGTGCTGAATATATTGGCGATGGGAAATACCTGGTGCAACTGCCTACAACAGTGCTAGCCTACATTTATGAACTCAATCAAATCCTTCTTGGATCTTTTACCACAAACATGAGCATGGCCCATTTTCCTCTGCACTCTGCCTTGCTCCATTTTGTTAGGGGAGTAGTGGGGAAGTGGCAGTGACTTTATTATTTGTTTCTTTGTGGGGCATTCCAAGGGAGTAAACATTCTTCCATAAGGTATTTCAAGGTCTTGAAAACTCTGTCCCTTTCTAGTCCCCTAGAGCACATAAAGCCATGGTGTCTCTCCAGATAAGAACCCAATGTTTTAGCAGAGATTCTCAAAAAAAGCCAGGCTTCTCTGGTGACAGAATTGTAGTTCATTTTGTTTTTAAAAGCACCAGGTGCAGAAGAAGAGGCTGAATGGATCCAAGAGGCATTTCCCACCTCTCCTGGCAGATGCCACCTCCTTGCTATGCCTGACACACTTGGCATGGGCACAGAGGGGAGGAGGTGCCTGAGGCCTGGAGCCATCGACTGGGCTGTGGGAGCAGCTGGATTCAAGCTCTCCCACCTGGGCAACTCTGCTGGCTGCCCTCCCTCAGCCGGAGGGAGGTGAGCAGGTAAGAAGGCAGCAGGTGCTCCCTGTCCTGTGGTCAACTGCTTTCCAAACCTGCCAGTTCATCTCCTGCTGGGGAGAACATCAAGGCAACCACATGCAGAAAGGACCTCTTAGGGAAACCAGTCTGCTCAGAACTAGGACAGCTTCCAGCCAAGACACTTTAGAAATGCAGGAGGAGAAGGCAGGAGACTTTTATTTATTTATTTTAATCTTTTTTTTTTTTTTTCCCTCTGCTCCTTTCTCCCTGAAGGTGGATGAGACAGCAGATCTATGAGCTGGCCTGAAGGGAAAGCAGAACTGCAAAGATAAGCCCACTGACAACCAAATATATGCCTGGCACAGAGCTAGGAGCTGCACACTGCATCAGGCTGCCATATTAAAAAGCCATCCAGAATCTTGACATCTTCTTTGTGAAGTTTTGCAAACGCAAGGCCTGGCTGCTTGAGAGCAGAAGGTTTGGGAATAAGGCATCCTTCAATGTCATGGTGGCAACAGATGCGGCTGCAACCTCACACTACGCCTTCCACTCTAAGGGATCTGCGGATCTTACCAGAAAGAAAGCACAAATATCATTCTGAGTACAGAATTAAACACACAGGTCTTCTATACTTGAGTGACTATTTCAATTTACAGAATTATAAATGATGCTAAACCTCATTCTAAATAGAGGAAATGTAAAGTTTCATTATTAAGCTCTATATATGAACACAAGCATCAATCTAAACAGTCCCTTCTTATAAAATATAACATAGAAGAAAAAAGCCTCATCTCTCTACCATTCAAAAAAATGTCTGATTTTAGTGCAAAGAACTTATCTAGAAATATCTCCCCATCTTAGAATCCATCCAATATATCATATAATCATATAATGGCTTGGATTGAAAAGGACAACAATGATCATCTAATTTCAACCCCCCTGCTATGTGCAATATATATCATCCAATGATGATATGTGATGTATATCATCCAACATGCCTGGCTTTTTGTCTCAAAAAAAAAGGACGTATTCAGTGCAAATTATACACTTAAGTGAGAGCACACAAACTGATCAAGAACTAAGGGAGACAAGGATGCTGCAGTTGTGCAGCGAGTACTGGCTTACATCACTAAACCTTTCCAACAGGTCACTCAGATCTCATAATGACACCATGAAGAGACCGCAGTAAATGGGGAAGGACAAAGAGATTAATTAATTAATGAACATGAGCTGGACTTTCTCCCAGTCTTCAACAGATTCTGCAGACTCACCAGAATAATGCCCATGCAGATACCTTTAATCATGAGAATGTGAAAAGGCAGAGGAAGGAAGACAGAGAAGGTGGAGCAGGAGATTAGAATACAAAAGAATGAGGCAGAAATTCAACTTTACCTCTGGAATCCAGAGAGCACAGCTCACATGTGCCCACTTGGTCCCTGTCCTGGTGGCTTTCATTGCACCTCCTCGTTTTGGACACAGGAGGCACTGAGGATGTATTCCCAGAACACAGGTGCGGCACAGCCAGCTCCCTTCGGGGACTTTCAAGATTCCATAGCATGCCTTGGAAGAGAAAAGGGATTGAGATCATTGCACTGATAGCATTTTACATCCAAACATTAATTCTCATATGGCATGAAGCTTTCAAATTCTAAAAGCACAGTTTGCCCTTTACTTAATCTTTCTCTAATTTCTTTACCTTAAAAGGAGTCAGGTGATCAAAGAGGTTAACAACCTATTAAAACAAAGCCTTTTCAGGCCAGTTTATTTTTAAAACATGTCTTGGTGTTATTTGTTCTTGTATGAAACAGCCATTGTAACTGAACAACACTAGTATTACAACCTTCACCTTTGCATTCAGTGTCTTTTTATGTTTCAGAAGTAAAAAACAGGCATCTCTTTAAGCTCACAGTCTTCTACTGTTAACACCTTTATGCTCTAACATTATTCTAGTCAGTTGTGAAGTGATAAGAACTGTTTGAAGATTCCTTCCTGTGACATTAGATTACTTTTGTGGTTACAGTTCTAAGAACCATTTGTGACTTCAAATATTTATATATAATATTGCCTCAAAAATTACAACAGTATATACTGAAATCATAAGGTTCTGCTTTTTATGCCTGTTTCCCTGAGGCCTCTTAGAAACTGAGAGATTTATTAACTTTTGCTAACTTTGAGAATAAAAAAGTAAAAAAGAAACTTAATTTTGCTTTCTAGTTCACGTTCCTAGCAGTTCTTAATGGCTAACTATACCTGCACTAGACACATCCTGCTGTGTCTAGTGCAGGTATTCAACCTGACCATATTTGAAACCATTGGTTGCCAAGGTGCAACTCCACTCAGCTGCCCCCAATAAAAGCTTTATCAGTAAAGCAGATTTCAAAGGAAATAACACCATTCCCAACACATACCAGGGAACAGTAACATTGAAAGCCTTGAGAGAAGAAGATTATTAGCTATAACCCAGTCTCTTAGATTCAAATCTAGTACAAATTCCCCATGCTTGCTTTCCCAGCCTTCTGGTTATAGGATCTTGGTACTTAATGTGAAGAGATGACCAATACTGCACAATCATGCTGTGTTGGGAGGGAGGGTGAGTTCTCTGAATGAAATCCTGCGTTATGAAAGCATCAAGTCAGACTAACCCAAACGTTACTTTCACGTTTGGCTGTTGTAAAGGCCCAACAGGGGGAGCTGTGGTCTAAATTTTACAAGTGATTTTTATTTCCTGTTAAGTGTTACATTCTCACCAACACTTTAATATTACCAATGCAAAATCACAGAATCGCAAGGTTTGGAAGGGACTTCTAGAGATCATTGAGTTCAAGTGGCACTACACCAAAACATCACTTTTAGGAGGCTGAAAATGGACATATACCACTTCCTAATTCAATTCAGCTAATAAGTGGAGGTGATCTAGACTAGCAAACCAGTAACTTAGCAATCTGAGCCAGCATGAGAGGGCACTGTGAGGGAGGAAACCTCTCCCACTCCTCTGCATCTCCAAGTGGTGTGCTGACAAACAGACCTTAGGCTGCTTGGTGAACTAGAGCCCATTCAGAATAAAACCTGAACTGATAAATATTTTTAGTTGGTTGTTTGCTGCTATGCTTTGTTAGGATTAGCTCCAGCCCAGCTTCTGCTGAGCAGGTCCAGAGCCTGTGGCTGGGGAAGAGGCAGGGTTAGAAGGCAGCAGGCCATCAGCTCCAGCTCTGCAGGCAACCCCGAGCCTTGTGCTGCAAATTCCTCCATATTTTCAAGGGGCACAAGCAGGGGCTGCCTCTGGAGCCAACAGCCCAGCTGTAAAATTCCTTCTCAAACAGGATGCACTAAAAACCACAGGGCTCAAATCCACTTTAGTTATGAGGATACCTCTGCCTGATGAGACTGAGCTTAGTTGGTGCAAGGTCCTGGCTACACCTGAAACACCACAAACATGAGCAGCATTCAGACCAAGAGCACAGCTCTTGCAGGTGCTTGTGCCCTCTAAAAAAAACCAGTCTGTTAAAGCATCTATCCACGTGGTTTCAAGTGGCTAAACTTGGAGCCAATTCACCAGTCAACTGAGGAGGAAAATGCCCCAGCTGCAAAACAAATGATCTTTTAATATATAGGCTGCCAGCATTCTCTGGCCTGTTTATTTACAAAAGCAGATTTACCAAGGATGTGGAGGGGAACTGTTTATGCTTGTAGAGCAAGTATTTGTAAGTCCAGACAACGCTTCACGTTACAGTTAGACTACACAGACTATGCTCAGCCATTTATCTGCTGTAATTCTCAGAGTACAAAACTTGAACTTAGTATTCTATATCACCCTTTGTATCCAGAGAATCACAAAGGTCTCCAAATTAACATTTAATACTGATTCAAATTCCACACTTGCCAAGCTAAACAAAGATGACAGGACAGTGTCAATACTTCTGCAGGCACTGACCTGATGGACGCAGATATTACACTTGTCACAAAACACCATATCGTTCCCATCTTCACTGTCAGGAGACCGACACACATCACAGATGACATCTTCATCATACTCTATACCCAGACCTTCTTCAGTCTCAATAGCGTGATTCATATTCTCATGACAGTGTCGCTCCAGCACTTCAATAGTTTTTTCCATTGTGTTTTCATCCAGAGGCCCGCATCCTACAATGCAGAATAGGGAAAAAGGAAACAGAAAACACTCAGATGCCTCTGACCAAGTCTGAGAGGCAGAAAAACAGCAACTACTGCAGTACAAACGTTACTTACATTAAAAATAAATGAATCTTTTTTAAAGCTCACTTGCCAATATTACCTTTACCTCATAAATACAAACAGAACTACTACTGGAGTAAAAGTTTGAGTTGTACATAAGACTACATGTTGAAAAAAGCACTACAGCATAAAAGACAGCAGCTTCTATAACTTCTTGCTTCTCTCATGTAAGTCTGCCTCCAACTCCATCATTCTAGGAAACACTGATGACTTTCAACATCATACACAATGTTCTTTATTCTGAAGATAAATCCCTTAGCAAATAAAACTTACCAAGTACACTTTAAATGTTATGAAGATACAAAAGTTGCCATCACTCCTTGAGTGGCCAGCACAATGGATATGAAAGGAGCTCTTATCCATTTTTTTTTATAAAACAGTAAATAAATGCACTGTTAGCAATCCATGGCACCCATTTACTTGAACACTATGCCTGCTATTCCCATTACCACTAATCAAATGTAGTGTAAGCAGATCTACTTGAAAGGATTTGTTTTGAGATTGATCCTCAGCTTGAAGCTTGTTCACTCTACAATGTTCACAGCTACAAGAAATCTCAAAGTCACATCCCCTCAAAAACGTCAGTCACAAATGCTGCCATCGTCTACTGTACAAAATTTATTTAGACTAGCAAAGGGACATCCATGCAGCACTGATACCAGAGGCTAACATCACTGTAACTGCTGGATTATGTACAAGAATACATGTACTAATATTGATTTCTTGTTACAACTGATAAACAATGAGATGAAAAAGATAAATGATTGTTGATACGAAGTGCCTGTTATTAAACTGTTTTCTCTAATGCCAGGATATTTTTTCAATCCAGATTAGGTTGCTCAGAAACATCTTTAGTCAAATCTTGAAAATCTCTGTGGATGGAGACTCCAGTCCCAGAAAAGCTTTGGTTTTGAGAACAGCACCCAATATGGTTAGGAAGCTTGTCCTCACACCCGCCTTTAATATACATCATTTTGCAGTGGAGCTCTGTCACGAGCTCCCTCCTTTACCATCTACTTATTTTCCTGAATGCCTGGATGATCATTCTTGGGCTTGGAGGAGATTATCCTTAAAGTTTTGCTAGCTCTCTCCAGCAATTTCACCCTTCAGAGCTACCTTGCAGCAGCAGATCCAATCCAGCAGTTCCCCAAATAAGCAGAAGATTGTTCTCCTTAAGTCCAGGACCAGAAGGCTTCTTTCTCTCCTTGCTCCCGTCGAGATCTCAGTTTCCACTATTTCATAGCTGCTACAGCCAATGCCAACACCAATTAACTCATCCCAACTAGTTCTTCCTTCTTCATGAATAACAAATTCAGGAGATGTCAAATAACTCTCTTTTTTCTATCTGTCCTTCATCAAGAAGCTGCACTCATCCATGAAGAATGTCAGTCAAACAGGCTATCCCATCACAGCTTGACTAATCCAGCAGCAAAACCTAATTACTCCTTTAAGAAAAAGGCACATTATAGCTCCTCAGAACTCTGTATTTTGCAGCAATAATATGCTCAATTTTTTAAAATGGAAACATCTGTTTTTCCTATGCAAAATTTTTAACTTTGAAAGTCCTAAAACTAATTCCACCTGGTGTTGGCTTTTTCTCTTCTGTGTCAGTCTGCAGAAGTTGCACATGATTTTGGATGTGATGAAGTTTTAAGGCACAAAAGGCAAAACAAAAGACTAACTGAGCTAGCAATTCATTTTCAACATTCTATAGCTTTGCCATTTTTGTTAGTGCTTAAAGATCTTTAAGAAACCTCTCAACAGAAATTAACAGCTGCTTTAAAAACCAGAATGTATTGTGAATTACCCATTTCGGTAAGCTCTTCATTTAGTTCCTGGAGCCAAAAGATGTCCATATCATCCAAATCATAGCGACACACAGATTCTGCCAATTCCAAAATGTTGATGTAACCTGGTTCTGTAGGCTCTTGGCTGGAACAGTGGATATACTTCCTGGGTCGTGTATACAGTACTTCTTTCACCTTTTCTGCGACAACCCTACGTATGTAAGGTAAAAAGGAAACACAAAGTTGGCTACAGCTTTTTAAGACTCAGCCTTGAAAGACATAAAATATTTGTTATCAACAGCATTTCACATACTTTAAGTTAGTCAATAAGTGAAGCCAAAGTGGGTAGACAGGATTCTGTAAATGTCATCTCTTCACATAAAGTATGTTAAGGTTGGCTATGTATACAAAATCATTTTTAAAATGCAAGCTTGCGCATAATATTTTCAATTTAAGAAATGCTACTAGAATGGTGATATGAATGTTCTTGAAATGCACAGAAAGTATTATGCACGAAACCACCTATGATCTTGTCAACTGATGATCTTCAAGACACCAGCTTTCTCAGGAAAAGCTTGATTTATTCTGCTGCAGGCTGTGGGGGAGGGAAGAGGAAGATGCTTGCTCTTCATTCGGGTTAAATAGTCTACCACTGTTTTACAAATGACACTTTATCCATGCTGCATAAGTATTATTTTTGTTCTGCAAGAACGATTCTGTTGCCAAGTAAAAATGTACAGTGGAAAAACAGCTAAAAATCATCCAGGAAGTAAGGGAAAAAAAACTAGTGTTTTCAACCTTTCCATTATTTTGTGAGATAAAACTTGGTGTTTGCCTAGTACACTAGCCTATGGGAATGGAGAGACTGACCCCAGCTAGATAAAAGTCAACCTTTCTCTGCATTTATTCCAAGAGGCCCTGCATGTGAAAGGAAGCCAGGGAGATACCGAATGGAACGGTGCCATGCATGAGAAGCTCTGCATGCCTTCCAGAGCTAGCCCTCCCCAGCACCAGGAGAAAAAAAAGCTGTGGGAAACAAGGCAAGAGGAAGAAAGAGGGAGTAGGCAAAAGTCAAGCAGTATCCCACATAATTCTAACTGGACAGTGTCTTTTCAATGTTAGCACTATGTTCTTCTGCCACTCTTCTCCACGGCTTCACGTCACTTACTTTTTTTCTTGTTCTCTTGTGAGTTTTTCTGTTCTCTGGTCCAGCCAAATCTATAGCAATTTTTTTCCTCTAATGTAATATTGCTGGTATGAGATGCAATATATTTATTTCAACAACTTGGTACTGATAATAGCCTCAGTGGAAATTAGATTATGCTGGCACAAGCACTTTCACTGGACAGTTCATTTATCTTTGTCTCAAAGCCCACCCTGGCACCAATACTTCCATGTTACAACACACACTTCTACCAGAAAAGGTTGCAGGACTACACTGTTATATTTTCCTGGTCTAAGTACAACGTGAGAGGATGAAAGATCTATCTCCTGAAATTGAGATCACTGAATACATATATAATGCTTACCAGCTATTTGTAAAAGAGAAAGCAGAAAGAATTAAAACTTTGGCAACAGAAACAAAAATTACATTACACAAACAAGTGAGTAGCTTTCTCAGGTATCAGTTATTACTACTGAGTGGCTTCATCTTACTTTACATAGGGAAGCCTTACAAGTAACATGAAAACAACACAAGATTTGGGTTTATGTTTAATTTAACTTCCCACACAAATGAGAAAAGTTCTATCCACGTGATTCAGGAAAAAGTAAATCCCCTTTTTAAATTTTAAATGCAGATATTTGTCGTATACAACAGAACCAGATCTGAAATGCCACAGAAATGTTTTCCAAATTGGTTTATTTGGTTTAAAAACAAGCTTGGAGGCTGCTGCATTTGAGACTTAACTATAACAACAAGGAAATGCCAACTGCATTTAGACCACCACTTTTTGACAGACCACCTTCTTCGAGTTGACACTCTGCACACATCTCTATGTCTAATTGCTGTTACCTGAGAGATGGCTGTGGAATTGTTTCTGGACTGGCTGGAACTTGGACTCCTTTCTCCCATTCCTGTTTCCACGTGTCCGCAAAGACATAATATTCATCGGGGTTAACATGGTGAGAATCCGGTAGTTTCATGGCACTAATGAGATCCTTGCGGAACACCTGCAAAGAAAACCCAGGGAAGAGAAAGGCTTGAGGAAAAAAGGTTGCCCAGAGGAAGTAGTAGATGAAGCAGTAGATATTTTCCTAGTTTGTACTGAAACAATGCAAATTCGTTGATAATTTTTTGAGGACTGCCAACACACAAGTACATTAATGTGCAGTATGACATGAAGTTTAAGCTTCTTGTCAGAACCATGATGCTGCTCAAAGTCTAATCAGAAGGAAGAAGGTTGTTTCAGGTAGCCAAGATGAAGGGGAAAAGAGGCCTGTACCTAGTTTACTACTTGTAATACCATTTTCAAACAGCTCATTTTACTTGCCAGTCTGCATGCTTTATCCTAACTTAGGTACAAGGTAGGATATGTATATACATATATTTCCTCTCAGTTAAGCTGCCTTTAATTGCCATATTCTTCACAGGCTAAGAACACTTGCCTTGGCAAGGTTGATATATAGGCACTTGTTCATCTCTAAGCCCATCTGAGACGTTAGTGGTCAGGATCTACAAGATCAAAGACAAACTGCTGCCTCTATCAAAAACACAAACTCTGCATTGCTCTGTACAGCGATGCTGCTGCTGCAGAACAACCCAGCTCAGAATCCTTTAGCAAACCTATCAGGTGAAATATGCAATTGCATATCACCACAAACCTATCCATGACAATCCTCTAGCTGCACCGATCAACCTTTGGTTTAAGAAGATTATGTTTTTAAGAACAGAGAACCATTATCAGTTGTCATAAAGCTTACTTAATGTAAATACCTGTCAAATAGAGGTGCATGAAATTTAAAAAAAGGGCATATGAATCCCTCTTTTGTTGCTGTTTGATTGGTTTTCATTGTCGTTTTTTTTTTTTTCTCTCTACTGATACCTTGTACCAGTTTAACATTCATTAAAACAGAGCAGTGACTGTGGCTCGGTGTTGGTGAGATGTCACAACTAATTAACTGTATTGTCACAATGAGAAATCAAATCTTCAAAGGGTAATAAAATGAAAAAGGAAAATACCCCTGCAATCAGCTGTGGAAGGCTGAACTCCTCCTTACTAAATTTGGTTTTATAGTGAGAATAGTAATAAAAATACTTCAGAGCCAAATATCTTAATGCACCCTTTTCAGTTTGACAGCACCAGACCACTTGATGTCTACTGCAAAAATTCTCAGCTGTTCTTGGAAATCATCAAGTTAACTGCTACTAAAAAAAAAAAAAAAAAAAAAAGGCACTATGCTTTTAACTAGAAACAAGTATTGCAAGAGGCTGCTGGTAGCTTGGAGCTTAAGGGTTGCTTCATTATACAATACAGCTGCATCACTCACAGACAGTTGGGAGCTCAACCTGAGAACTCAACAAGCAACCAGCAATCCCCTGAGGCTTCTGTATTTACCACTAAGGGGTATCTGCTTTGCTTTACATCAGACTGCTTACTGCAACCTTCTGTCTGCAGCTTTTTAGGTTTTAGAGAAAACAAGAGCGAAAGTAGAAAGACCATAAGCACCCATTTTTATCCAAGCAGCATGCCTACATGTCAAAAATAAAATGCGATGTGTCCTACACCATTTAAAAGAAATTTTCGTATTCTTTGCTATAAGTAGAGCTAGGTTTATGAGGAAAACTAAAGTTCCATAGAAAATCCATGAGGAAGAAATAATCCGGTGAGAAATTCTATGACTGGTTTAATCATTAGAAAATATATTCCTCAAACCTTATCTAAGGTAAAGCATAAAGCACTTTTACAAACTACCTTTTCAATCACTGAGGAAACACAGGAGAGGCTCATAGCAAACCCAGTGTTTTTCAAGCACTGAAAGAAAAACGCTGTGAAAGGCATTAGTATTCCAACTACATCAAACTACATTGCTTAGCAGCAAATTCATCTTCTGATCATCCATTATGTATGTGAACTGTACCATCTCTATTTTTAAAGCACAAAACCTGTGGAGCATGAACTTTTTTTTCCCCTATGTCTGACCAGTCTAGTACCATGTAAGCAACACAAAGTTCTCTGCTTCAGATCGCTACAATTTATAAATATTGGTATCACTGAAGGTAAAAGATTTCATCAATATAAATGTAACTGTTGAAAACTTAAGAAAAGCCAAACTCAGCTTAGATTTCCTAACAATACTTTCCTTGCTTTTCATGCTTAAGTACAACTGAGTGTTTCCTGCAGACACCTGGAATTGTCATAAAGACATCCCAACCTGTAGCTCATCTCATTTCTCATGTCCTCACACACAGCCAGTCTTCCAGCAGGAAAATACACTCAGAGGACAATGTTTGAAAACATGTGTCTTTATCACTTGCTCTATACTGCGTTCTAGAAGTAAACCAAAACACCCAGGGGACCCAAAGAGAGCTTTCTTATCAATCAAATAACTTTTTACTCCAGCAGCCAGCCCCTAGGCTAAGGTCTGAGCCACTCAGTGAGGAGCAGACACACACGTTCAAGATTTATATAGCCAGCTTTTCCTCACAGTTGTGTCTTTTTGGACTCTTATTGCATCCACAAGGCACTGGTCAGTCCTACTGACAGCACAGCCCCTCCTCTTGGCAGCAGCCACCTTTACTTCCCCAGTTAGCCCACACGGCTGGTAGCAAACCAAAAGCAGTTGCACTTCTCAGTGTACACAACACACAAGCCTTCAACTCTATTTCAGCACACAAATCGAGAAGAACTGAGTAAGGAGCACACCTGACCTAGGCAAGCAATGCCCTCCCACCCCTCTGCTAGGACACACAGCACTTCATGAAGAGGCCCTGGCCAAGGGGAGCTCCGGCACTAGAAGGCGGCTGCTCACGGCCGGTGTGCACACAACAGGAAACTGCCCACCCGCCAGAAGCTTCCGCAGAGGTTACTGTGTGACAGGGGGATTGGTTTTACATATTTTTAGCAATTGAAAGTCCTGCTTAGCACTCGACTGTTTGTTCTGAATTTCTTTTCATTTAGCTGCCAGGAACTTCTAAGTTTCAGCTGAGAACGGTGCAGCAGTTAGTCTGAATGAAGTCAATGAAAACAGTGTTCGCTTGTGTCACAGAAATAATACTAAGCATTTCATTAAGAAACTATAAAATATTTTTCACACTTTAAAGCTGAGACTGACATCTAGAAGAGAAAACCTTGCTCTGTGGTCTAGTCAAGCTTTTTGCTCTGCAGTAAAGACTGACAAGATTTGCTCAAGCAACAAGAACTCAGGCACCTCTAAAAGATGCACTGCTGTCTCTGGGCCTTTAAAGCCTAAATCCTAAAAAAATCCTCCTTAATAAGCACGCTCTGCTCCTCCACCAAGTACTTACAGTGACACTGTGGAGCTGTGGATGGAAAGATATGGTTCACGTGTCATGTTTGTTTTTCAGGCTAAGTCCTATTTGGAAATTATGCTAGAAGAGCACGTCCAAGGAAAATGAAGCTCATAGAATCAGAAGTTTGTAAACGCATCACCAAAAGCTGTCTATGACTTCAACATGAATCAATATACAATCTTCTTCACACGACCCTCCCTCCTGTGCTGACTCTATGAAAAAATCAATTCTGTCTAACAAAGAACATCGCTTGGAGTGCAGTATCCTTATCCACTAGAGATGTGATGGAGGGTACAAGTAATGCTGTAAAGAACTTAAGTGAAATATTAGCATCCAAGACAGAGAGCAAGTCTTCACCATACAACAGCCTTCTACAGCCTCCATCTTCAGCAAGCAATGCAAATATTGGATCTGTACAGAACTTCAAGAACATTCTGTAACCAAGCAATACAAATCTAAAGCCACATTTTGGGAAAATAAAAACCAGATCAACAACAAAATTCCAATAAACTGCAAAAAAACCCACAATAAAACAAGAGTCAGAGACTTATTTCAATTCTCTCCTGTAAGCTTCTACTGACACTGACCACTCACCACATCCTGCCCAAATGCATGTGGTCCAGGAGAACAGACTGGATCATCTCTTTGAAACAGCAATAAAAATGGTACTTCTTGTGACGTTGAGCTTTTAAGCATCTGACCACCTATTACTAAATTCCACGATGATAAGACTACCAGTGGGAAGCACACATCAGAGATCTAAGTGAAGTATATGTCAACCACTCTGTTTGCTGTCACAATCAAAGCAGGATTTCTGCTGGATTGCATCTAATTGCTTCATGCTAAGGCTTCCCCTGGTGCCTGGCAGAGCCCCTAAGGAGTAAGCAGCATTACATTTCATTGCCACATACTTGCTACCTAGAAACAGAAGACCCTGTCTTCTGAGACAGAAACATAAAATACCCATTTTTAAAAGGCAGAATGCCATCCCCCTGCACTAAGTCTGCCAGAAGAGTACCATCAGAAATACCCTCAATATCCTCTCTAAAAAGAGAAAGCTGAAATGGCTAGGATCTTTCTGATTTTTGCATCTCCTTTACGACCCAGAAGGCCAACTATGAAATTCCAGTTGCCAACTACTCATACAACAGCAGGCATTTTCTCTAAAATGTACAGTAAACTACATGTGAGTTTTTCATCTTTTTGATTATTTTTCAAATTCACCTTCAGAAGAATGTTTTACGCTTTTTTATTCCAAAGCACCAAAGCTTATTCCACCACGCACCACCTCCAGCAAAAAATTAACACTTACAAAGCAGCAGTTTATACCCAAAATTACCACATAAATAATAACATGGAAGCTAAATGGTACTAAGACCTATTACACGTTTAACATAACCACATCGTATCTGAGCACAGATAGTCTCATCTAATACATCTAATCTTCGTACAGATGTTTGACAATGTCTGCCAAAGGCTGCCTATCTACTGAGAATGAAGCTGCAAGGTGCCCACCACTTTCCAGAACTTGGTGGGCTCATCTTCCCAAGGTTGAATTATTATTGTTAGTACACTGCAATCTGGGCATTAAGTTTCTGAATTGAGGCACTTTATTAAACAGGAGTATACCCTATTACAGACAGGATGAGTTGGATGGTTTGTTTTTTTTTTTTTTTTTTTGTAGCAAAGCAAATCAAAAGCAAAATAATTTAAGAATGAAAATGAAACTACAGTTCCAGGGATATATACTGACTAGACTGAAAAACTAATGTTAAAAAAGCTAAGGCAGACGGGAGTAAGTGTAGCATAAAACTTGGGCTTCTCAAACATCTCAATAATAAATCCTAATCTTCAAACTCCCACTCCCAAAAACTATTTTTATGTATCATCCAAGACTCGAGAAAATGAAATATTGCACCTTTCAGTGGAGCAGCCACAAGTCTTCTGAGCCTCCTTTACAGGTGTATATAGGAAGAGTCAGGAAATCAGACAGTAAATCAACCACACCTAACATCAAGTCTCTGACAGTATTATCTCACGAGCCAGAAAAATGTGCAAGAACTGTGTAAGAACATGTCAGGTTTTCTTCAGATATAAGCTTCAGATTTGGGGATTAATCCTAACAATCAATTTTTCAAAATGGTATTAATTAAACAGATATTTAGAAAAATCTGTACTCGTTATCATCTGTTCAATTCCTTTTATAATCATGTTTAATTCTCAGTCTCAACAACTTCCTGTGGCAGATGAGCTTCACAGTCTAATTATATGGTGCACGCAAAAGGATATCCTATTAATTGCAACAGACTTCTTAACTTCTGGCCTCGTTCATATTATCTTGCCCTTCCCAGTTTCTCCGCCACAAAGACAGGCAAGACTGAAGCTCTACCTCTGCTCTCTCCAGACCATTTATACTTAACTGCTTTGCCTACTCATCCAGTTCCAAAAGTAAAACAGCTCAGCTTTCTCACAAGCAGGCTCTTCCATGCCCTTATGCATTCTGGTCACCCTTTGCTAAAAGCAAAAAGATCAAAAAAAGCCCAGCAAGGTTGCATTTGTCATTTACATGAAAGTACTGTATGTTCTTCTTCAAAACCAACTAACCCACACAGGCTAAAACGGAGCTCATCAAAATGCACAAGGCATGTTGACCAGCGGTCTTGAGAAGGCTGCAAAGATGACAGAGTTGTTAAAGTTAATTCAGAATCTTCTAAGGTAGGCGCACGCAGAAAGGTGACAGTCTCCTGTTCCATTATGCATGGCATACGCCAAGCAATATGATTTAATCACGGTGTCCATTCATTCACAGAACAAAAATGACCGCTTTCAAACTGCCAAAAGAATCCATTCTCTGCTCGCAGTCTAATCTTACAGGGTGCTCCTCAGGATCAAGACCTACAATTTATGTGACAGTTAAACGCCACTAAAAAAAAGTTCCACATGTGCAATAATGAAAGCAGGCCATTTTCTTGTGGAAGACAAGCTACATTTCACATGATAACACAGCTGTCACTATCAGCAATGAGGGACCAAGAACTAGAGTTGCCACAGGATTCGAAACCCTATTTGCAAAGTGAGGTAAAATACTGCCACCTTATATGGGTAGGTTTCATACAGAAAACCACCACGCTTCTAACTTAACTCCTTTACAGTTTTAAGATGGAGCAAGTACTAAAAAGAAAATACATAAGCTTGAGTGTCATATAAATCTCTTTGGCTCTTTTGTGCCTCCACTAGCTTGAGGCAAAAGAAATAGTCAGCTTTTCAGGATGGCCCAGCTAAAACGTTTTCCCTGCAAAAATGATTCCAACTATTCTGCCATCGTTTTCTGCTGCAGCTTCCAAGGAGACAGGAAACAGCAAAGCACAGGTTTCATGCTGAGCCAGACATCCAAATGCTCCTAACCTGCTACTCCCACGCAGCCTACTGTTCAGAGCTGAGCCCCTCCTGTCTCAGCTCAGGTCCATAAGGGGCAACTCTGCAACTGGCACACAGCCAATATCACCATGAAGCTCTGAAAAACTGTTCAGACATATACTTCAGGCCTGCCTTAATATTAGTTATTCAAAGTAAATGCTAAAGCTAATTGGATAGCAGAATTGTCAAGACACCATTTCAGTTGCTTGCAAAAGATTACAACCCAAAAGGAGCACAAGAGAAAGAGCTGCAGCCTTGCTCCACAGCATCCATCATCTTAGATTCTCCTCATCTTCTCTGAGCAGCAGGGTGACACAAGAAGGTCCCACTCAGAAGCATCCCTTCTGCACAGATGCAAACATCTGGTAGGCAGGCCCAGAGAACAGGCTTGGACATCTGCACTCCAACATTATTCCCTGTCCCACAGTAAAAGAGGGGAGATTTACGTTAGATGTTAGGTGGAAATTTTTCACTCAGAGGGCAGTGAGGCGCTGGCACAGCTGCCCAGAGAAGCTGTGGTGCCCCATCCCTGGAGGAGCTCAAGGCCAGGTGGGGCAGCCTGAGTTGGTGGGGGGCAGCCCTGCCCACAGCAGGGGTTGGGGCTACACAATCTTTGAGGTCTCTTCCAACCTAAGCTATTCTATGAAGCTCACTCCACTGATAACATTGCCCGCGTCTGCTTCCTTCCTGAACGGCTGAGAAAGTGGACAAAATCCTATGTATACATATGCAAAATAATCGAGAAAGCCAGACTTACTGGCATGAAAGAAAAATTAATGTATGAAGACCATGAGCAAAAAAATTCCCAAACAGCTATTTATAGCTTTGACCTTTTAGATTTTCTGCATCACTAACTCAAGAAACAGTCTGCTGCCTGGCAAGCAGAGGTGAATGAAAGCAGAGCACTGCCAACTTGCTCAAGAGATCCCTTACTGAGGGGATGCTGTCAGCACGAAATTTCAAATTTCTATCCAATACTATCACAAAAAACTTGTGGAATTACTGTAACATGATTTTTTGAAGGATGTGTGATAGGGTCATTCTTTGCTTTACACTCTTGTCACTAGTTGGTGCGTTAATAATAAATTGCAATGCTCTGCTGACAGCAGCGCTTCATGCAATGCACCACTGCATGCAATCTCCAGCATATGATTTTCTAGGGCTTGGAAGAAGTGCTTGCTCCCAGCAGAAGGAAAGGAAAAACAGGAATGATAGCTAAGAGTCTTATGCACCAAGGGTAGAGATCATTACTGCCACCCTCCCTACCAGTCCCCTTCTCAGAGGACTTTACTTCTTCTGTTTTTGTTTTTTTTTTTTTTAATTTTAATCTTTAACATTGCAGTATTACACTTGGGACACTCTTCCCAAAGAGGACATCTTCTAAGATTTGATTTTTTGAATTATTTTCAAACTGGGGAGGGGGGCTCCTAAACAGAAGATGCGAGAAAGATGCCAGCATTACAAGAATGATGATGTTATGAATACACTTTCTAAACTCAGTGTATATTCTAGGCTTTGCTCTTCAAAGTTTTGTATTTTTCAAGCTTTGATGGGCTTGAAATTTTGTCTTGAAGCAGGTAGAAAACAGCAAAGATCACAGAAAGAGGAACTGAAAACACTGCACATTTTAATTCCTCCTAGAAGTTATGTAAATAAGAACACTTGTAAGCTGCATTCATGGACCACATTTTCATAATTATTGTTTATACATCCACACAGTATGGAGAAAAGGGAAAGTAAACAGTAACAGGACAATTTTTAGGCAGAAAAAAGCAAGACAGGGTGAAGGGTCTGGTGCTAAGATGTATTTGCAACAGCAAGTCTAGCAATGGATTTGTTTCTGCTCCCATTTGCCCAGTTTGGCAAGTAAGAAAGCTACTGCTAAGAGAAACATGAGCAACAATTACAAGAACTCAACAGCCACAAACTGTTTTGAGATTGACGTTCTCACAGAACATTAATCCTCAAACACTTTAAAGGTAAAAAGTATAATAGACTTTTCTTAACCTTGGTGGCTGCAAACAAACACTGTGTAGATAGCTCTGGCCAATTTTGTTCTTCCTGAAACATTCACACAAGATTCCCTTTTACAAAATGAATCTTTGCATCCTCTTCAATTTACTTGTAATGAAAATTAAGCTTTCAAAAAAAAGGACACTTCTTGAGCATTTACCTTACTCTTACCAAACCGAATTAATCTACTGGGCAACATTCAAAAGTACATTTGCTGAATAGCTTTTGGTATATGAACACAAGTTTTATGTTTACACAGCCTCTCACAGTAGTATCTAAGCAGCTAAAAAGCTGCTGTTACTGTACAAAGAATTACTTCTGGGACATAACTCTCAGTTTTACATTCTACAGAAGAAAAGTATGTTTTGTCAGTCTTTTTCTCAGTAACCTCGGGCATCAACAGTCTTACAAGCACGCTGAAGGACTCATTTGGAGGGAATGTGACAGCAAGCAGAGGGAATTAACTACAAGAAACATTTCTCCTATTTGCAGTTATCTGACTTCAGCCCTCAAGAAAGCAAGCATCAAATATGGAGAAGGCAGCCAACAAATTCTCCCCAAGAAGGGCAACAGATGGGAATCGTTGCTAGGATGGATTTCAGCACTGCATTGTACATAAACACCAATGGAAAAGGACTCAATTAGCAAATGCAGATCCAGTGAGAGTGGTGATAGGTGTTAATAGGCAGGGAAGGCAAAATAAAACTCTTACTGAAGGGAACAAGTGAATAGTGAGAAAGTAGCAGGAGAGTAAGCACTGCTCCTATGTAACTCGCCCACTGGGGTGTCCCACTGTTCTATCCTAAAGCAGAAAGAAGGCATCCTTCTCACACACACGTATACATGAGCCATTTCCTTCTGTAGCATGCTTTCAAATCACAAGACCAGACCAGCTTTTTCAATATCAACATGAGTCAACTACATGTCTTCAATGCCAAAAGTCATGATGGGACACCAGAGCTCCTGTATTAGTCCCACACTGAAGAAAAACAGTATCATGGAAGCAACAGGTAACAAAAGAATGAGCTGGCACCAGTTCAAAGCTCACTATTTCAAGGCATAGAAACTTGAAAACGACATGTCAAAAAACACTGGTAACCAGTCTTTAAGCTTGGTTCTTACCTCAGCAGGTTTCTTTTGTTCATTTGCTGGTGTTTTTGACTTGCTCCTGTATTTAGCACAAGAAGAAAAGGAAGTGGAAGGACCTGTTTAAAAAAACAAACAAAAAAAGAACCATTACAACTAATTTCAATTTGCTTCACTCAGTACAACACAAGGCACTCCAATCTCATGACTTATCTAATTCTTGACAAGATATGGGCAAAAACATCTTCTGTAGCCTGTAGGCTTGAATACAGCTCCTTCTTTTCCACTTGTTCTTTGTAAAACCGCAGCACTCTGAACTTTTGGGTACATTCTGCTCTGCTCAATACAAGTGTGAATAACAGAACAAACATGCAGACCACTGTCCTTCATTGCCTTTCTATCAGAAGTGGAAGGAGGAGCAAAACTCAGGACAGAGCTTGCACGTGCTAGAAAAGCAAAGTGAAAAAAAAAGCAGTGATACCAGAGGATACTGATGAGAAAGGCAGGAAAGTATAGTGCAATGTCTAGACATCTCAGAGCAACACGTTAGTTCGGTATGTTGCTGAGCTGTAATAAACATGCTAATGAATCAGCTGTTAAATACAGCGTTATTAGATGGGCACAAGTTTTAAAGAAACAAGCAAGACTCTGCCTTACAGTTTCTTAATAAGCACAAGAGGAAGCCGCAACCTCAGCCAGATGTGCTAAGGAATTTTTAACGAATTTCACGGACTTGTCTACCAGGCTATTAGGCCACCAGACCGAAGAGGAATGATGAAGAACCAGATGCTGCAACATGAGCTCTAACAGCTCGGTCTTAAGGCTGAGGCTTGGCATATGAGACAGCAGGACTTTCAGATAGATCAAGCCATACAAAGACTTCCTCTGGACAGAGAAGTTTCTCTTGGAGTAAAGAATTATTTTTCTCAACTCTGAAAAAATTATCCTCAATTTCTAAGTAAATTTAACTCCACCACAAGTTTAGTCTCCTTTTCCTCCCAAAACAGGATCTAGAACATAGAAGACCACAGAAGATGAGACGAAATCAACGAAGAAACACTGTTTTAATTATACGAGGTAAAACAGTTTGCCCTCAAACCACAGAAGGAAACCACAAGGAGGTGACAGACCAAAGAAAAACTAGCACATGCTACTTACTCTCATTGTCTGAACTGTCACTGGTGCTCAGATGCCTGTGGCGTTTCATCCTGACGCATCCTAAGGAAGAAAAAAAAAAGTGTTGATGGTGACCATCAGAAGATGACACACTGTGTGGACCTGCCAGCTCATGCCAGTTCCAGAGTAGAAAAGGAAAAATTCCCCTGAAGGAGAATTTTTGGGCACCATGTATGGAAACGATCACCCCCAGTCTTGTTATCTCTTCACAGAATACACAATCACAGTTCACATTTAAGGGAAAAAAAACCAAGCCCAAAGGGGTCCAGGTAAAACGAAGGGCACTTTTTAAATAATTACAGAAAATGGAGGCTGATGCCACTGAAATCTTCTGGTCACAACCTAGGTAACGTTAGCTCTTTAGTTTGTGAAGCCATCAAAGGTATAAGCAAGAAATTCTTACAGAAATTCCAGGGCAACTCCATTAATAACAAGATATCAGGCTTTTTGGAGTCAGTTTTTAGACATACAACATGTACGGAGAGTGGAGAAGGTGAAAATTCTGAATAATTACTTAACAAAGGAAGGATCACAGTAGGGACCACTAGGCATTCCAAACAAGTACCAACACAACTGCATGTACATTCCCATCAGTCCTGCCATCCAATAACATTCCACATTACATTTGTTAAACACAAACTAATAGCAGTTTACATGAATACTGGTAAATGAAAATCATCCTTATCCTTTTTAATGGCTTGAACGTGAAAATCATTAGATAAAAGAATCAACAACAACAGAAAGTGCTTTGTTTTCTTTTTTTCGAAGCACAAGACAAGCATAAGCAAGTTACAGACTTCAGGACAGAATTCTGGGTACATGAAATATCTGTGGTACCAGAGCTGCCAGCCTGACTGTACCTGAAGCTCAAACAGCTCCATTTCTTAAATAAAACAAAATCATATGCTTTTTTAAAAAAAAAAAAAGAAAGAAAAAGAACAGGGAAAAAAAAAAAGAAAAAAGAAAAAAGAGAGAGAGAAGGAGGGAAGGAGAGAAAAGAGAGAACAAGCACAGCTAAATAGCCCATTTGATAAACTCTCCACATTAGTTACTGTAAATGGGTCCTGAGATTATCCAAAGGCCAGGGGATAAACAGGATTTCCGGATAAGAGAAGCCTATCCAAAGGCTTTGAACGGATTGCAACTGAACCGTTTGCAGCTGAATTGCTTAATTTAGCGGAAATTTTCAGCAGCCTTTACACTTAAGTGTGAGTTTGATCAGTGCATTTAGATTCAGTACTCAAAGTTTCAAATTCTCCTTTGATCTATCTTTCATAGAAACACACTGCCCACACCACCAGAAGCTGAAAAGGTAAATGAGGCATGTGTTTTTCAGCTCAGCATACACAGAAAGCCAGAGTTGGGTATTTAGCCTGAAGGGGACAGTGATTAACAGGACAAGGTATCCCTTTAAAAGCTTACCTATAAGCTCCCACCAGATAACTTACTTCATATAATCAGCCTTGCTCCAGGCTCAAGCAACCTGGGGGCCACCTCAACCCCAAGAGCAGTGCCCAGCAGCTACACATCTAGCAAAAAATCTGTCTGCCAGGCAGAAAGGCCTCAGGCCAGAAGGTCTCTTTTTTGTACATGTTTGGGGAGCTAAGCACTAGGCAGCGAGGGAAGGAGAAGATGACTGCTCTCATCTTGCCAGTTCCTGCAGTTCAAAGGTGTGGGCTTCAACCAAAAGCAGCTAAAATGGCACTGCCTGGGTGAGGGCTTCTCCCCCCCAGAGCCAGGCTTGCCACAGACCAAGCCCTGCTGGGAAGGAGCAGGCTCCACCTGCCTCCTTTGCTGTGGCTGCAGCTCCATGCAGCCCTGTGCCCACACCCTCGGGCACGCTGCAGGGCCTTAGGAGATGCCGAGAAGCCACATATACGTGTGTGGAGAAGCACTGCTCATTGCCATTCCTTAGCACTCGCTGTTCGCTTCATTTTTATGTTGGGATGAATTTTTGAGCAGCTGTTAAAAGGTGCTGAAAGCTTATGGCAGGCGACTCTCGTCTTTTATAGCCTACATAAACATGCAGCAATAAAACCTCTTTGCTCCACGTTCAAGACAGCAGCTGAGGAGCACAGCGTTCAGTTAGCGGGGTTAAATGCAAGGTCAGAGCACAGCACGGCAGGGATGGCTGGGCACTGGGCAGGGCAGAGAGGAGATGGCTACTTTGGGGACAGCGCACAGAAACAGTAAATGTAAAAAAAAAACCCACCACTGTACACCTCTGCTAACCAGTGAGAAAAAACACCACATTTACAGATGCTGCATTTCAGCCGTGGATTTATAGCAGCTCAGGCAGCAGATTTACACCTCCATCACAGCAGACAGCAGCAGTTACCCAGGGTAAGAGCCCCGCGCAGTAATAATGCTGGATTGCAGCCTGATTTCTGCAGCAGTATTAACTGCAACGACCATGAATAAGAACCCACTGAGCTACAACAAATCACAGAGCGCTGTGCCCAGAAGACAGGCCATTAGGGTGAGCAGCATGCTACGCACTCTCCATAGGTGCCCACCTGGCGTGGGATGCAGCACTGCTGTGCTAGTGCCACCTCTGTGGGGAATGGGAGAGCCCAGGCATGGAGAAACAGCCATCATCTGTCCCCTGCTCATCTGGAAGGGTGGAGATGCACACGTGGTTCAATTTTGTCCCTTTTCTAATTTCACCCTCAAAAACTACGGTGATTATGTCTAGAATAAGGGAGACATCGGGAAAAGATCAGATATGAAAGTGAGAAATAAATTCATGAGAATACCAACGCCCTTTTCTAGGTTCAGAATACCAGTTATAATGAATGACATGGCAACCCAAAACGAGAACTAATTTATTTCTTAACACACAAAAAGAAAAAAAAATTTCATAATGGATAATATTTTTTCCACAGAATAGTTCAAAGAAGAAATTCAGAAAACTGCCTCAAGTAGATGCTACTTATAAAGGAAAAAGAGATGAGAAAAGATGAGCTGTCATTAGGAACATGATGGAAATGTCGCACAGAGAGCAGCTAAAAACAGCCTCTTTCCAATTCCTTTATCTTCATTCAGGCTTTTTGCAAATTTGCCTGTGGAACTTTTGGTCTGGATTTGAGAATTTACTTTTACACTTCAAACTTCCCAGTAGTTCCCATGCAGAAGCTAAGAAAAGCAACGAGTGTCATACAGACAAGAACTTCCACGCTACAGAACAAAGGAGGGAAGTGGCTTCAAAAAATTCAAATAAACCTTACATCTCATTTCCCAGTTACCAAGTAATAATTCTCACTCTCATGAAAGATAAGAAGGGGTGCTTTGGCTGCGGACTCAAAATGTACTCAAGCCTTCTGGTGAAACACAGATCACCTTAGAAACAAATACTGAAATATGGGAATGTAACATCTTTTGGTATAATTTTTTTTTTTAAATCAACAGAAGGACTAACAGATCACTCACATGACAACAAATACAAACTTGAAAGATGCTCACCTTCAGAGATCTTTTAAACGAAATATAAAATGAAGGAGTAACATTAAGAAATCACCACGTCGCAAGCAAAGAGGCACTCGACTCTCCAGGCAGCTACTGCAGTGGAACATTCCTCTGCTATGGATTTTAATGCCAGATACCAGAACAGTTCCTGGACTCGAGCCACGCTCCACACCGGCTGTGTGCACGTCCCTGATCTCACCCAAGAGCTAAGGGGAATAACCAAAGGTCCAGAAAAAAGGAATCCACAAAGCCAGAGAAATCCTCCTCCCTGACCCCAACAGCAGAAGGAGGGTCAGCACGCTCTACATCCTTCGGGCACACAAATAAAACACAGAAGCATGTTCTCCTGAGCCACAGGCAGTGAAGTGACACTGCCAGCAACCACCTGGTTTCCCAAACACTGCCTGGATGGAGCTGGGACTTGTGCTGCACCCAGCTCATCCTCCTTTGCCCGGAAAACCAGGAAAAAGCCAACCTTCACTCACCTAGTTGGAACTAGATAACCCAAGCTACAAGTAATCAATGTATCAGCCAGCACACACAAGGATGTGGTAAGAGAGACAATATCAGTATTTCTAAAGCCTAGGGGAGATGTTTTATGATTAGTCATTTCTAAGTTATGGTTGCTCCTTTTGGCTTACCCTCCAGTACCTGCACTATACAAATTCCAGTATCTCCACAAAAAACAGCCACTTGGTTTTGCCACTACTCTTTCCTCTCCCCCAGGAAAGCCAGCAGAGCACTGAGTGAAGGCTCTTTCCATCTCTTAACAGTCAGTTATCATGCATTACTCAAAAAACCAGTCAAGCAGTACATGTAAACAGTAGACAGTTCACAACATTTCAGAGCCCCAAAACACCTGCAGAAACATTTTTCCCTGTTCAATTTGCATCAAAGTAAAAAGCTAAATTTGTAACACAAACCATTAAGGGTCTATCCTCTTGTCCTAGCATATCTTTCAGTAGTTTTGAGCCTCTCAGTACAAGAGAGGCATTGAGGCCCTGGAGCATGTTCAGAGAAGGGCAGTGAAGCTGTGAAGGGTCTGGAGCACAAGTCTTATGGGGAGTGGCTGAGAGAACTGAGATTGTTCAAACTGGAGAAGAGGAGGCTCAGGGGAGACCTTGTAGCTCCATACAACTGCCTGAAGGGAGGTTGGGGGTCAGCCTCTTCTCCTGTGTTAACTAGCGACAGGATTAGAGGGAATGGCCTTAAGATGCACCAGGGGAGATTCAGGTTGGGTGTCAGAAAATAATTCTTCTCTGAGAGAGTGGTCAGGCACTGGATTGGGCTGCTCAGGGAGGTGGTGGAGTCACCATCCCTGGAGGTGTTCAAGAAATGTTTAGATGTTGTACTGAGGGACCTTAGTGCAGACCCTTTTCCTAGTGGTTTAGTGGATTCACCTACTGGTGATTGGTGGACAGTTGGACCAGATGATCTTGGAGGTCTTTTCCAACCTATCATGCCACAGTAAAAGAGGCAGCAGAAAGGATGAGGTACCTGAGCCTGAACTCAACACAGCACATCATGCAAGAGACACCAGAGATAAGTGCACAAAATGAACCCTTAAATCCAGGTAG